TTAACTCCCTGTATATAGATATAGACGGGATGTATGTTTCTCCCATGCTGTTAGTATACCGTTAACTCCCTGTATATAGATATAGACGGGATGTATGTTTCTCCCATGCTGTTAGTATACCGTTAACTCCCTATATATAGATATAGACGGGATGTATGAACTATTTAGTTCCTTGTGTATAGAGAAACCTTCATGTGATCTAGTCAGTGGTATGATATTCTGTATCAGTTGAGATGCTTTAATCCCAGAACTGATTCAAAATGTTTTAGTTCCTTTTCAATATATTGTTTACAGTTGACGTCCCTTGTGGCTGGCTTTACAACTAATCTAGCTACCTGTGATAAAGACAAATTTTACTTTCAACAACTTCTCCATGTTGGAGTGTTTGCCCAGTTTGAGGGACTGCTCAGTTGCTATGGTGATGAGATGGGGATGTTGGAGGACATGACTGTGGCTTTAGAAGATCTCAGTCAGGTGACTTTCCACTTTATCCTTCAAAAGGAATATGAACAATCTCCAAGCATCTCTTCAGACAGGTTGGTTTATTATCTATGATTTTCATATTATTTTTCAGCACTTCATTTGAAAAAATATTGCATGTACATGTATAATAATTTGTTTGAGATCTATTTTTAAATTAAAAAAGAAAATTAAGTCTTTTGTCAGCATTTTATCTTTAGAGAATGTGAGAAATCACATTGCAAGTAGAGTTTTTGTGAGACTTCTGGGGAAGTACTGACAGAGTACCTACATGTAGGTGTTAGACCACTGGAGAGGTACTGACAGAGTACCAGGGGGTCGGACCTCTGGAGAGATACTGACAGAGGTCCGACACCCCTGTACTCTGTCAGTAGGTCTAACACCCAGGTACTCTGTCAGTACCTCTCCAGTGGTCTAACACCTACATGTAGGTGTTAGACCACTGGAGAGGTACTGACAGAGTACCAGGGTGTCGGACCTCTGGAGAGATACTGACAGAGTACAGGGGTGTCGGACCTCTGGAGAGATACTGACAGAGTACCTGGGTGTCAGACCACTGGAGAGATACTGACAGAGTACCTGGGTGTCAGACCTCTGGAGAGGTACTGACAGAGTACCTGGGTGTTAGACCTCTGGAGAGGTACTGACAGGTACCTACATGTAGGTGTTAGACCACTGGAGAGGTACTGACAGAGTACCAGGGTGTCGGACCTCTGGAGAGATACTGACAGAGTACAGGGGTGTCGGACCTCTGGAGAGATACTGACAGAGTACCTGGGTGTCAGACCACTGGAGAGATACTGACAGAGTACCTGGGTGTCAGACCTCTGGAGAGGTACTGACAGAGTACCTGGGTGTTAGACCTCTGGAGAGGTACTGACAGGTACCTAGGTGTTAGACCACTGGAGAGGTACTGACAGAGTACCTGGGTGTTAGACCTCTGGAGAGGTACTGACAGGTACCTAGGTGTTAGACCTCTGGAGAGGTACTGACAGAGTACCTGGGTGTTAGACCTCTGGAGAGGTACTGACAGGTACCTAGGTGTTAGACCTCTGGAGAGGTACTGACAGGTACCTAGGTGTTAGACCTCTGGAGAAGTACTGACAGAGTACCTACATGTAGATGTTAGACCTCTGGAGAGGTACTGACAGGAACCTGTGTGTCAGACCTCTGGAGAGGTACTGACAGGTACCTGTGTGTCTGACCTCTGGAGAAGTACTGACAGAGTACCTGGGTGTTAGACCTCTGGAGAGGTACTGACTGAGTACCTGTGTGTCAGACCTCTGGAGAGGTACTGACAGGTACCTGTGTGTCAGACCTCTGGAGAGGTACTGACAGAGTACCTGTATGTCAGACCCCTAGAGAGGTACTGACAGGTACCTGGGTGTTAGACCTCTGGAGAGGTACTGACAGAGTACCTACATGTAGGTGTTAGACCACTGGAGAGGTACTGACAGGTACCTGTGTGTCAGACCTCTGGAGAGGTACTGACAGGTACCTGTGTGTCTGAACTCTGGAGAAGTACTGACAGAGTACCTGGGTGTTAGACCCCTGGAGAGGTACTGACAGAGTACCTGTGTGTCAGATCTCTGGAGAGGTTCTGACAGGTACCTGTGTGTCAGACCTCTGGAAAGGTACTGACAGAGTACCTAGGTGTTAGACCTCTGGAGAAGTACTGACAGAGTACCTAGGTGTTAGACCTCTGGAGAAGTACTGACAGAGTACCTGGGTGTTAGACCTCTGGAGAGGTACTGACAGAGTACCTGTGTGTCAGACCTCTGGAGAGGTACTGTCAGGTACCTGTGTGTCAGACCTCTGGAGAGGTACTGACAGAGTACCTGTATGTCAGACCCCTAGAGAGGTACTGACAGGTACCTGGGTGTTAGACCTCTGGAGAGGTACTGACAGAGTACCTACATGTAGGTGTTAGACCACTGGAGAGGTACTGACAGAGACCTGTGTGTCAGACCTCTGGAGAGGTACTGACAGGTACCTGTGTGTCTGAACTCTGGAGAAGTACTGACAGAGTACCTGGGTGTTAGACCCCTGGAGAGGTACTGACAGAGTACCTGTGTGTCAGATCTCTGGAGAGGTTCTGACAGGTACCTGTGTGTCAGACCTCTGGAAAGGTACTGACAGAGTACCTAGGTGTTAGACCTCTGGAGAAGTACTGACAGAGTACCTAGGTGTTAGACCTCTGGAGAAGTACTGACAGAGTACCTGGGTGTTAGACCTCTGGAGAGGTACTGACAGAGTACCTGTGTGTCAGACCTCTGGAGAGGTACTGTCAGGTACCTGTGTGTCAGACCTCTGGAGAGGTACTGACAGAGTACCTGTATGTCATACCTCTAGAGAGGTACTGACAGGTACCTGGGTGTTAGACCTCTGGAGAGGTACTGACAGAGTACCTACATGTAGGTGTTAGACCACTGGAGAGGTACTGACAGGTACCTGTGTGTCAGACCTCTGGAGAGGTACTGACAGGTACCTGTGTGTCTGAACTCTGGAGAAGTACTGACAGAGTACCTGGGTGTTAGACCCCTGGAGAGGTACTGACAGAGTACCTGTGTGTCAGATCTCTGGAGAGGTTCTGACAGGTACCTGTGTGTCAGACCTCTGGAAAGGTACTGACAGAGTACCTAGGTGTTAGACCTCTGGAGAAGTACTGACAGAGTACCTAGGTGTTAGACCTCTGGAGAAGTACTGACAGAGTACCTGGGTGTTAGACCTCTGGAGAGGTACTGACAGAGTACCTGTGTGTCAGACCTCTGGAGAGGTACTGTCAGGTACCTGTGTGTCAGACCTCTGGAGAGGTACTGACAGAGTACCTGTATGTCATACCTCTAGAGAGGTACTGACAGGTACCTGGGTGTTAGACCTCTGGAGAGGTACTGACAGAGTACCTACATGTAGGTGTTAGACCACTGGAGAGGTACTGACAGGTACCTGTGTGTCAGACCTCTGGAGAGGTACTGACAGGTACCTGTGTGTCTGAACTCTGGAGAAGTACTGACAGAGTACCTGGGTGTTAGACCCCTGGAGAGGTACTGACAGAGTACCTGTGTGTCAGATCTCTGGAGAGGTTCTGACAGGTACCTGTGTGTCAGACCTCTGGAAAGGTACTGACAGAGTACCTAGGTGTTAGACCTCTGGAGAAGTACTGACAGAGTACCTAGGTGTTAGACCTCTGGAGAAGTACTGACAGAGTACCTGGGTGTTAGACCTCTGGAGAGGTACTGACAGAGTACCTGTGTGTCAGACCTCTGGAGAGGTACTGTCAGGTACCTGTGTGTCAGACCTCTGGAGAGGTACTGACAGAGTACCTGTATGTCATACCTCTAGAGAGGTACTGACAGGTACCTGGGTGTTAGACCTCTGGAGAGGTACTGACAGAGTACCTACATGTAGGTGTTAGACCACTGGAGAGGTACTGACAGAGTACCTGGGTGTTAGACCTCTGGAGAGGTACTGACAGGTACCTGTGTGTCAGACCTCTGGAGAGGTACTGACAGGTACCTGTGTGTCTGACCTCTGGAGAAGTACTGACAGAGTACCTGGGTGTTAGACCTCTGGAGAGGTACTGACAGAGTACCTGTGTGTCACACCTCTGGAGAGGTACTGACAGGTACCTGTGTGTCAGACCTCTGGAGAGGTACTGACAGAGTACCTGTATGTCAGACCTCTAGAGAGGTACTGACAGGTACCTGGGTGTTGGACCTCTGGAGAGGTACTGACAGAGTACCTACATGTAGGTGTTAGACCACTGGAGAGGTACTGACAGAGTACCTGGGTGTTAGACCTCTGGAGAGGTACTGACAGGTACCTGTGTGTCAGACCTCTGGAGAGGTACTGACAGGTACCTGTGTGTCTGACCTCTGGAGAAGTACTGACAGAGTACCTGGGTGTTAGACCTCTGGAGAGGTACTGACAGAGTACCTGTGTGTCACACCTCTGGAGAGGTACTGACAGGTACCTGTGTGTCAGACCTCTGGAGAGGTACTGACAGAGTACCTGTATGTCAGACCTCTAGAGAGGTACTGACAGGTACCTGGGTGTTGGACCTCTGGAGAAGTACTGACAGAGTACCTACATGTAGGTGTTAGACCACTGGAGAGGTACTGACAGAGTACCTGGGTGTTAGACCTCTGGAGAGGTACTGACAGGTACCTGTGTGTCAGACCTCTGGAGAGGTACTGACAGGTACCTGTGTGTCTGACCTCTGGAGAAGTACTGACAGAGTACCTGGGTGTTAGACCTCTGGAGAGGTACTGACAGAGTACCTGTGTGTCAGACCTCTGGAGAGGTACTGACAGGTACCTGTGTGTCAGACCTCTGGAGAGGTACTGACAGAGTACCTGTATGTCAGACCTCTAGAGAGGTACTGACAGGTACCTGGGTGTTAGACCTCTGGAGAGGTACTGACAGAGTACCTACATGTAGGTGTTAGACCACTGGAGAGGTACTGACAGAGTACCTGGGTGTTAGACCTCTGGAGAGGTACTGACAGGTACCTGTGTGTCAGACCTCTGGAGAGGTACTGACAGGTACCTGTGTGTCTGACCTCTGGAGAAGTACTGACAGAGTACCTGGGTGTTAGACCTCTGGAGAGGTACTGACAGAGTACCTGTGTGTCACACCTCTGGAGAGGTACTGACAGGTACCTGTGTGTCAGACCTCTGGAGAGGTACTGACAGAGTACCTGTATGTCAGACCTCTAGAGAGGTACTGACAGGTACCTGGGTGTTGGACCTCTGGAGAAGTACTGACAGAGTACCTACATGTAGGTGTTAGACCACTGGAGAGGTACTGACAGAGTACCTGGGTGTTAGACCTCTGGAGAGGTACTGACAGGGTCCTGTGTGTCAGACCTCTGGAGAGGTACTGACAGGTACCTGTGTGTCTGACCTCTGGAGAAGTACTGACAGAGTACCTGGGTGTTAGACCTCTGGAGAGGTACTGACAGAGTACCTGTGTGTCAGACCTCTGGAGAGGTACTGACAGGTACCTGTGTGTCAGACCTCTGGAGAGGTACTGACAGAGTACCTGTATGTCAGACCTCTAGAGAGGTACTGACAGGTACCTGGGTGTTAGACCTCTGGAGAGGTACTGACAGAGTACCTACATGTAGGTGTTAGACCACTGGAGAGGTACTGACAGAGTACCTGGGTGTTAGACCTCTGGAGAGGTACTGACAGGTACCTGTGTGTCAGACCTCTGGAGAGGTACTGACAGGTACCTGTGTGTCTGACCTCTGGAGAAGTACTGACAGAGTACCTGGGTGTTAGACCTCTGGAGAGGTACTGACAGAGTACCTGTGTGTCAGACCTCTGGAGAGGTACTGACAGGTACCTGTGTGTCAGACCTCTGGAGAGGTACTGACAGAGTACCTGTATGTCAGACCTCTAGAGAGGTACTGACAGGTACCTGGGTGTTAGACCTCTGGAGAGGTACTGACAGAGTACCTACATGTAGGTGTTAGACCACTGGAGAGGTACTGACAGAGTACCTGGGTGTTAGACCTCTGGAGAGGTACTGACAGGTACCTGTGTGTCAGACCTCTGGAGAGGTACTGACAGGTACCTGTGTGTCTGACCTCTGGAGAAGTACTGACAGAGTACCTGGGTGTTAGACCTCTGGAGAGGTACTGACAGAGTACCTGTGTGTCACACCTCTGGAGAGGTACTGACAGGTACCTGTGTGTCAGACCTCTGGAGAGGTACTGACAGAGTACCTGTATGTCAGACCTCTAGAGAGGTACTGACAGGTACCTGTGTGTTGGACCTCTGGAGAAGTACTGACAGGTACCTTGGTGTTAGACCTCTGGAGAGGTACTGACAGGTACCTAGGTGTTAGACCTCTGGAGAGGTACTGACAGGTACCTAGGTGTTAGACCTCTGTAGAGGTACTGCCATGTACCTGGGTGATAGACCTCTGGAGAGGTACTGACAGGTACCTGTGTGTTAGACCACTGGAGAGGTACTGACAGGTACCTGTGTGACAGACCACTGGAGAGGTACTGACAGTTACCTGTGTGTCAGACATCTGGAGAGGTACTGACAGAGTACCTGGGTGTTAGACCTCTGGAGAGGTACTGACAAGATTACCTAGGTGTCAGGCCTCTAAGGAGGTACTGAAATAGTACCTAGGTGTTAGACCTCTGGAGAGGTACTGAAAGAGTACCTACTAGGTGTTAGACCTCTCGAGAGGTACTGACAGAGTACCTGGGTGTTAGACCTCTGGAGAGCTACTGACAGAGAACCTGGGTGTTAGACCTCTGGAGAGGTACTGAAAGTTACCTGAGTGTTAGACCTCTGGGGAGGTATTGACTGAGTACCTAGGTGTCAGACCTCTGGAGAGGTACTGACAGAGTACCTAGGTGTTAGACCTCTGGAGAGGTACTGACAGTGTGAGATTACTAGGAAGATCACTCAGTACTGATAGATTACTTGATTAACAACGGGACGTGTTACTCAATACTGACGAGTACCTTTCAGAATGATTAGTGACTAATGTTATTGTTATAATTTTCTTTTTCAGTCACCTGATATCTGGCATGTATGCAGACTTTAATAGGTGAGTTTTTTGTGTGAAATTTCTGCTAGAACAGAGTTTTCTCCTATTGTGGCATAGAAAACCTTTTAACAAGGAGTTGTCTCCCTTTACGGTATAGAAAACCTCCTCTGCTGACAATGATATTACCCATTGACCAAAGGACCTTGGTGAGCTTATGCTATACTGCAGCGTCCGTTGTCCATCCGTCTGTCAACTTTTTCTTTAAAATGCTTCTAGTCCTGAACAGCCACATAGATGTTAATTAAATTTGGCCTGGAGCATCCTTAGGCTAAGGGTTCTCAATTTTGTATAAATGGTGGATGGGGCCCCCCTTGGGGCAGAGGAGTGGGGCCCAATAGGAGAAATAAAAGTAAAATCTTTTAAATCCTTCTTCTACCATAGGGATTAAGGGATTTTTTCCTAATTTAGTCTGGAGCATCCTTGGTCAAAGGGGTTGGGCAAAATAGGGGAAATAGAGGTAAAACCTTTGAAATACTTCTCCTACAATAGGGATTCAAGATTGTATCCTAATGTTGTCTCCATCAAGTTGTCTAGTAGTGCCTGTTACTATTAGGATGTATTCATTAGAACAAGATGGCCACCAGGCCGTCATCTTGGGTTTTGACATTTGAAGATTGTTCTCGCTATATCTCTAGAAACACTGCATGGATCTTTGTGAAATTTCATATGTACATACAGTACCTACCAAGGAGTGCTATATCTTTACTTCATATCAAGCACTTTAAACATTTATCCAGGTGAGCGATACAGGCCCTCTGTGCCTCTTGTTCCTGATTCAAAAAGATGCCTACCAGGGTATAAAATGATGGTGTGATTCATCACACAAACAGAAAATATCACAAAGAATATTTACTGGTGATAATACATTATAAAGGTGGTTTGTTCATTAGATGTCGTCATAGATATCAGGATCGAGTAGACAGTTTTAAAGATTTGGTAATACCGGTAATTTCGTTCTACTATTGTAGTAATAAGTATTTATTATGATATGATAATTTCTGTTTCAGACATCGTGTACGAGTAGAAGTTCCTGTACCAGAAGTTCTATACAAGAAACTTCCAGACTCATTGGCTCAAGGACAGGCAATCCATGTTACCCCAGTCCTCTTCAATGTTGGCATCAATGAACAAGCTTCTCTGGCTGAAAGGTTGGCATTGATATAGAAGGTTCTATATGTAGTTTAGTGCCCCCCTACTTAATTGTGATGGGGATTATAAGAACAGTTTGTGTCGCCCCCTTAGTTAATTGTGATTACATTATAGAATCTATTCACAATGTTCCACCTTATAATCATTTGTGATAGAAGACCATAGGTGTCAACCTCTGAAACCTCCAATAAGGGAGATATCCCTCATTCCACGATCTCCCTCATTCCACGATCTCCCTCATTCCACAATCTCCCTCATTCCACATTTCCAATGAGGGAGAAGTTACATGATACACGACTGAAACTGCTTGCTCAATTTATCTCCCCCTTTTTATGTATAAAAAAAAATCGAAAAAGTATTCATTTGATTTAGACACACCTGGTATGACCATTACACACACACTGCAGAAATTAGGAGATCATGTGACCACAGGATGTAGATTTTGAGTTTGTGTGAGTTTGGACTTAAATTAGCTAGGGAGATTGGTAAACTTTCGTTAAAATGAGGGAGTCTCCCTCCTAATGAGAGAGGGTTTACAGCTATGTAACACCATTGTTTGATAAACCTTCCTGTGAACTTTACAATGATTAATACCATCGTTTGATGAACCTTCCTGTGAACTTTACAAGGATTAAGACCATCGTTTGATAAACCTTCCTGTTCGTTTGATGAACCTTCCTGTGAACTTTCCAATGAATCAGGACTTGTTTGATAACCCTTCCTGTGAACTTTACAAGGATTAAGACCATCGTTTGATGAACCTTCCTGTGAACTGTACAATGATGAAGGACTTGTTTTATAAACCTTCATGTGACCTTTACAATGATTAAGACCATCGTTTGATGAACCTTCCTGTGAACTGTACAATGATGAAGGACTTGTTTGATAAACCTTCATGTGAACTTTACAATGATTAAGACCATCGTTTGATGAACCTTCCTGTGAACTTTACAATGATTAAGGACTTGTTTGATGAACCTTCCTGTGAACTTTACAATGATTAAGGACTTGTTTGATGAACCTTCCTGTGAACTTTACAATGATTAAGGACTTGTTTGATAAACCTTCCTGTGAACTTTACAATGATTAGGACCATTGTTTGATAAACCTTCCTGTGAACTTTACAATGATTAGGACCATTGTTTGATAAACCTTCCTGTGAACTTTACAATGATTAGGACCATTGTTTGATAAACCTTCCTGTGAACTTTACAATGATTAGGACCATTGTTTGATAAACCTTCCTGTGAACTTTACAATGATTAGGACCATTGTTTGATAAACCTTCCTGTGAACTTTACAATGATTAGGACCATTGTTTGATAAACCTTCCTGTGAACTTTACAATGATTAGGACCATTGTTTGATAAACCTTCCTGTGAACTTTACAATGATTAGGACCATTGTTTGATAAACCTTCCTGTGAACTTTACAATGATTAGGACCATTGTTTGATAAACCTTCCTGTGAACTTTACAATGATTAGGACCATTGTTTGATAAACCTTCCTGTGAACTTTACAATGATTAGGACCATTGTTTGATAAACCTTCCTGTGAACTTTACAATGATTAGGACCATTGTTTGATAAACCTTCCTGTGAACTTTACAATGATTAGGACCATTGTTTGATAAACCTTCCTGTGAACTTTACAATGATTAGGACCATTGTTTGATAAACCTTCCTGTGAACTTTACAATGATTAGGACCATTGTTTGATAAACCTTCCTGTGAACTTTACAATGATTAGGACCATTGTTTGATAAACCTTCCTGTGAACTTTACAATGATTAGGACCATTGTTTGATAAACCTTCCTGTGAACTTTACAATGATTAGGACCATTGTTTGATAAACCTTCCTGTGAACTTTACAATGATTAGGACCATTGTTTGATAAACCTTCCTGTGAACTTTACAATGATTAGGACCATTGTTTGATAAACCTTCCTGTGAACTTTACAATGATTAGGACCATTGTTTGATAAACCTTCCTGTGAACTTTACAATGATTAGGACCATTGTTTGATAAACCTTCCTGTGAACTTTACAATGATTAGGACCATTGTTTGATAAACCTTCCTGTGAACTTTACAATGATTAGGACCATTGTTTGATAAACCTTCCTGTGAACTTTACAATGATTAGGACCATTGTTTGATAAACCTTCCTGTGAACTTTACAATGATTAGGACCATTGTTTGATAAACCTTCCTGTGAACTTTACAATGATTAGGACCATTGTTTGATAAACCTTCCTGTGAACTTTACAATGATTAGGACCATTGTTTGATAAACCTTCCTGTGAACTTTACAATGATTAGGACCATTGTTTGATAAACCTTCCTGTGAACTTTACAATGATTAGGACCATTGTTTGATAAACCTTCCTGTGAACTTTACAATGATTAGGACCATTGTTTGATAAACCTTCCTGTGAACTTTACAATGATTAGGACCATTGTTTGATAAACCTTCCTGTGAACTTTACAATGATTAGGACCATTGTTTGATAAACCTTCCTGTGAACTTTACAATGATTAGGACCATTGTTTGATAAACCTTCCTGTGAACTTTACAATGATTAGGACCATTGTTTGATAAACCTTCCTGTGAACTTTACAATGATTAGGACCATTGTTTGATAAACCTTCCTGTGAACTTTACAATGATTAGGACCATTGTTTGATAAACCTTCCTGTGAACTTTACAATGATTAGGACCATTGTTTGATAAACCTTCCTGTGAACTTTACAATGATTAGGACCATTGTTTGATAAACCTTCCTGTGAACTTTACAATGATTAGGACCATTGTTTGATAAACCTTCCTGTGAACTTTACAATGATTAGGACCATTGTTTGATAAACCTTCCTGTGAACTTTACAATGATTAGGACCATTGTTTGATAAACCTTCCTGTGAACTTTACAATGATTAGGACCATTGTTTGATAAACCTTCCTGTGAACTTTACAATGATTAGGACCATTGTTTGATAAACCTTCCTGTGAACTTTACAATGATTAGGACCATTGTTTGATAAACCTTCCTGTGAACTTTACAATGATTAGGACCATTGTTTGATAAACCTTCCTGTGAACTTTACAATGATTAGGACCATTGTTTGATAAACCTTCCTGTGAACTTTACAATGATTAGGACCATTGTTTGATAAACCTTCCTGTGAACTTTACAATGATTAGGACCATTGTTTGATAAACCTTCCTGTGAACTTTACAATGATTAGGACCATTGTTTGATAAACCTTCCTGTGAACTTTACAATGATTAGGACCATTGTTTGATAAACCTTCCTGTGAACTTTACAATGATTAGGACCATTGTTTGATAAACCTTCCTGTGAACTTTACAATGATTAGGACCATTGTTTGATAAACCTTCCTGTGAACTTTACAATGATTAGGACCATTGTTTGATAAACCTTCCTGTGAACTTTACAATGATTAGGACCATTGTTTGATAAACCTTCCTGTGAACTTTACAATGATTAGGACCATTGTTTGATAAACCTTCCTGTGAACTTTACAATGATTAGGACCATTGTTTGATAAACCTTCCTGTGAACTTTACAATGATTAGGACCATTGTTTGATAAACCTTCCTGTGAACTTTACAATGATTAGGACCATTGTTTGATAAACCTTCCTGTGAACTTTACAATGATTAGGACCATTGTTTGATAAACCTTCCTGTGAACTTTACAATGATTAGGACCATTGTTTGATAAACCTTCCTGTGAACTTTACAATGATTAAGGACTTGTTTGATAAACCTTCCTGTGAACTTTACAATGATTAGGACCATTGTTTGATAAACCTTCCTGTGAACTTTACAATGATTAGGACCATTGTTTGATAAACCTTCCTGTGAATTTTACAATGATTAGGACCATTGTTTGATAAACCTTCCTGTGAACTTTACAATGATTAAGAGCATTGTTTGATAAACCTTCCTGTGAAGTTTACAATGATTAAGGACTTGTTTGATAAACCTTCCTGTGAACTTTACAATGACTAAGGACTTGTTTAATAAACCTTCCTGTGAACTTTACAAAGATTAGGACCATTGTTTGATAACCCTTCCTGTGAACTTTACAATGATTAAGGGCTTGTTTGGTAAACCTTCCTGTGAACTTTACAATGACTAAGGACTTGTTTAATAAACCTTCCTGTGAACTTTACAAAGATTAGGACCATTGTTTGATAAACCTTCCTGTGAACTTTCCAATGATTAAGGACTTGTTTGATAAACCTTCCTGTGAACTTTTCAATGATTAAGGACTTGTTTGATAAACCTTCCTGTGAACGTTACAATGAATAAGGACTTGTTTAATAAACCTTCCTGTGAACTTTACAATGATTAAGGACTTGTTTGATAAACCTTCCTGTGAACTTTACAATGATCAAGAGCATTGTTTGATAAACTTTCCTGTGAACTTTACAATGATTAAGGACTTGTTTGATAAACCTTCCTGTGAACTTTTCAATGATTAAGGACTTGTTTGTGTCCTGTAGGTTTGGGGACACCACTCTACAAGAGAAGATTAACACAGAGAGTATGGCCAAGGTGTTCAGTTATAAGGAAAAATATCTGACCGCAATAGGCGATCAAGGTAAGTGTACAGGTATTAATTATATTTAAACATTTTTAACCCTGTCATCTATGGACACCATCTAAATATGACCAATTTAATGTGACCCAGACTGTTGTAAGTGTAATGTAACCTAGCCTGTTGTCAGTATAATGAGACCCTGGCTGTTGTCAGTATAATGTGACCCAGGCTGTTGGCCGTGTTATGTGACCCTGGCTGTTGTCAGTATAATGTGACCCAGACTAGTTGTCAGTATAATGTGACCCAGACTGTTGTAAGTGTTATGTGACCCTGGCTGTTGTCAGTATAATGTGACACAGACTAGTTGTCAGTATAATGAGACCCTGGCTGTTGTCAGTATAATGTGACCCGGACTAGTTGTCAGTATAATGTGGCCCAGACTAGTTGTCAGTATAATGAGACCCTGACTGTTGTCAGTATGATGTGACCCAGGCTGTTGGCAGTATAATGTGACCCAGACTGTTGTAAGTGTTATGTGACCCAGGCTGTTGTCAGTGTAATGTAACCCAGACTGTTGTCAGTATGCGACCCAGACTGTTGTAAGTGTTATGTGACCCTGGCTGTTGTCAGTATAATGTGACCCAGGCTGTTGGCAGTATAATGTGACCCAGACTGTTGTAAGTGTTATGTGACCTAGGCTGTTGTTAGTGTTATGTGACCTTGGCTGTTGTCAGTATAATGTGACCCAGACTAGTTGTCAGTATAATGTGACCCAGACTGTTGTAAGTGTTATGTGACCTAGGCTGTTGTTAGTGTTATGTGACCCTGGCTGTTGGCAGTATAATGTGACCCAGACTAGTTGTCAGTATAATGTGACCCAGACTGTTGTAAGTGTTATGTGACCTAGGCTGTTGTTAGTGTTATGTGACCCTGGCTGTTGGCAGTATAATGTGACCCAGACTAGTTGTCAGTATAATGAGACCCTGGCTGTTGTCAGTATAATGTGACCCAGGCTGTTGGCAGTATAATGTGACCCAGGCTGTTGTAAGTGTTATGTGACCCAGGCTGTTGTTAGTGTTATGTGACCCTGGCTGTTGTCAGTATAATGTGACCCAGGCTGTTGTAAGTGTTATGGGACCCAGGCTGTTGTTAGTGTTATGTGACCCTGGCTGTTGGCAGTATAATGTGACCCAGACTAGTTGTCAGTATAATGCGACCCAGACTGTTGTAAGTGTTATGTGACCCAGACTGTTGGCAGTATAATGAGACCCTGGCTGTTGTCAGTATAATGTGACCCAGGCTGTTGTAAGTGTTATGTGACCCAGGCTGTTGTCAGTGTAATGTAACCCAGACTGTTGTAAGTGTTATGTGACCCAGACTGTTGGCAGTATAATGAGACCCTGGCTGTTGTCAGTATACTGTGACCCAGGCTGTTGGCAGTATAATGTGACCCAGACTGTTGTAAGTGTTATGTGACTCAGACTGTTGTAAATGTAATGTAACCCAAACTGTTGTCAGTATAATGAGACCCTGGCTGTTGTCAGTATAATGTGACCCAGGCTGTTGTCAGTATAATGTGACCCAGACTGTTGCCAGTGATAACGTGACCCAGACTGTTGTCAGTATAATGTAACCAGAGCTAGTTCATGCTGTCGTGTCCTGGTTATATATATATATGGCGGTACAGTGAGACGGCATATGACAGTGACCATTTGCACTGTGGAAAAATCATTAGCAGTTAGCTAGCGGTGTTTCAATTTTTTAGGAAACACTTACCTAGAATGATTAGGGGTATTCTCAATAATCTTCCCTTATTCAGAATTACTGGATAAAAACAGTAGCATTCACCATGTCATTCCCATGACAAACTAACAATTATATCCATGGCCTTTTGACTTTATTATATATTAAATATAAAATATCTTAGCAGGTAAAAGAATCACTGATGTATAAATGAAAGGTTTGGACTTCAATTTAGAAAGACGGGAGGGGCACAATAGAGAGAAGGGACTCAATAGGGTACATGTGGTAAATACTAATATTGATCTTATAACTATTACACACAATGGATCACATGGCATTTACTTTTAGAGTGAAAGAGACAGCTTACATCCCTATTATAATATAGACCATCAGGGTATTCCCATTGACGACATTATGATAAAACATGAACTCAAAACTATTCTCCTGTTAATGCAGACTCTTGATACCAATGGGGTTTTTGCTGATTTTCTTGATGAACTAGAAGTATATATTACTAGCCAATTTGCAATCTCAACCATTTTTTAGTTCATTTGGTCCAAAGGGCTTTCAAGGCCACTTAGGGTCAATTATATTAAATCTTAAGCAGGTTAAGAAAAAGGGTTCAAATTGAACCATTTTCAAGGTCATGTGAATAAAATGTGTAAAACAAAGTTCAAAACCAAATGGGCACAGGTTGGTAAAGTTTGGCCTGTAGCTTAATCTAGCCAATTTTGATACATTCAATCATCATCCATTTATAAGCTTACTGATGTGAGATTAATAACAGGTGAGTGATACAGGCCTATAGGACCTCTTGTTTTATCAAACATCCTAGGTCCTTATGATCAGGGAATACAATTTTGTCTTACAGAAAAAATTAACTCCCCTGGGGACTGGACCCAAAAGGGAGCAATTTTGGCATTAAAGTCTTTAAAGTTCACTCTCCTTAAATGTTGATCACATTTCAGCCTTTGTGATGAAGCATCCTTGGGACTTCATATGTAATAAATATAACTAAAAAAAGGAAGAGTATTTTTCTACTGTTTTCTGAGAGACTGAAACTGATTAAAAGGAGAAAATATTAGTAATATTTATAAAGGTTTTTTTTGTTGTGATTTCATAAATATCCAGATGAACATTGCAGGCCCTATAGGCTTCTTGGTTTTAAGATACGTTTAGTAATGCACCACTATGTACAAATAACAATGAATGGGTTGACAGTTCTGTAATATTTTTATTACCAATAGGACCATTTCTTACCTATGTGTACAAACCAATAAAATAAATATATATCCATTTTGCCAGTAAATATGTTGTGGTTTGTGATAACGGGGACACAGGAGGTGGGCTCACCTTCTCTAGTGTTTGTCACAAGATCTAGAGAACAGCTGCTCTTTCCATCATTGAATTGTCTAATTATAAGGTTTGTGTTCTGAGACCTGTTGATTTATTGCAGATTCAATGTGCTACTTTTACTCCAATTATTATCTGTTACTGGCAACAAGACAATGGAGTATTGATTATTTGAGCACATGTTGGATACATGCGTGGGAGATTATGGTGATCTGGCAGCACCTTTAGTGGGTTTTTGTGGAAGATGGTGTTTGGAAGGGGGGCATAAGAGTGTTGGTGGGGGAGGGGGACATCAGATGGTACAGGGGGGATAGTCTGAGATGGGAATGGTGGAGGCGAGGGGGGGGAGAGGGGAGAGAGGAATTAATCAGGTCATCAGAGTTATTATTTTAAAGAAAATATCTTTGTCGCATTGGCATGGTTACCATGATAATGATTAAGAAGAAAGCCTGGAGCACTAGTGTAAGGTTGCTTTGCTGCGTCAGCTTTTGAGAAATCAGATTTGTACTGTTTTTCTTCTAACACCTAGTTCCTTAGAGGAATCTTAAAATAGAATGTTTATCTGATATTCAGCAGACAAGTTAATTACCACGACATCTTTTATAGGATTTCTTTAGGAAATTACAATAAACAACAGAATGTAGATAAGATGCTACATCTATATGACAGTGTTGTGTGTCAGATCAAACCAAAATAAAATGACATGTTTAAAAATCAATATTTACTGTATATCATACAGACATGGTACAGGTATATTGTTGTCAGTTTTAGATCTGTGTAATAATCAGTGTTATAGGTAAGTTGATTAATGTAGCTGTAGCTGGTACAGATAGATTGTAATGTTCTGAATAAAGTTGTCATACTGAAATTCTAGATGACTTACTTAACTTCTGATGTAGCCCGGCTTTATATGACTTTGTTTTACTGAGATGATAATCTTTTGATAATCATAAGGACCCTACATCTAAGAACCTCTGATGTTCCCCTCCCAAACTCAAGACATTCACTGGGGTCTGATGTTCTTTCATATCCAATTTATAAGTTGTTTGTAAGAGTTAGGGTTTTGTGTATAAATGAATTTAAAGTCCAGTTAGAAACACATCCTTCTAACTGTTAGTGACATTAGGGTAGTACAGCGGTCGGTGTTTTCAGCTAGTTACTGTGTAAGCTTATAATTTTATCTGGACCCAAATCAGAGAGTCAGAAAGTAGGAGCACTATATGTATAAGGCTGTGAGAGACGACGGACTTTGAAAATATTGTAAATCTGTACAATTTGTAGACCTGCCAATAAAAACCAAGTGGAATATTGAAACGTGACTTTAGAAATCACTCCAACATTTGTGATATTCTGCATATATCTTTAATGAGTCTGCTGCATTCTGATTGGTTGATTGCTTTACACAAAATATCTTATGACAGAATGGTCGGATTTTTATTAAATTGGCTGATGTACCACTTACTTGAATTCAAGTTCAATAATCGGCATTCTGCGAATATTTAAGTAGGCTGCTATACTTTGATTGGCTGATTGCTATCTGCGTGATATCCTCTGAAGGAATGATTTATTTTGATCATTTGTTTGATATTCTAATATCAAAGACCCTCAGTGGGGTTTAATGTTTGTCATATTCGGAACCTATTTAATTAGTCTGCTGTAATCTGATTGGTTGTTTGATTTCTGCATATTATCTTATGACAGAATTTTTGGATTTTAATTAAACTTGCTCGCCGTTTGATGTTCAACATGTTCCATGCATATTAAATGAGGCTTCTGCATTCTGATTGGTTGATTGCTTTCCACACAATATTTTATGACTTGATTTTCATTAAAGTTGCTTCATATACTACTTACTCAGGTCTGATCTGTTGCTTCTGTTTGGCTGACACATGTTTGACCATTTTTAGCTCACCGGGTCCGAAGGGCCAAGTGAGCTTATGCCGTGGTGCGGCGTCCGTCCGTCC